AAAGTACCTTGGAACAAGCTTCTCATTCCTCCTGTTGGCGACCGCTTCTATCTGTAAGGTCGGAGCTTCAAGAACACCTTCTCCCCTACTTCGAACTAGAATGTCCTTCATATGCCCATCAACTTGTTTCTTCATAATTGTTGAGCTCACAATAGATGTCTCTTCAACTCCTCTAACACTCTGTCCCTCTCCTCCAAGTACTCCACCAAAGAAACTGGAGCATTGTTACTTCCAAAGTGCACCAAGTGAGGAAGATCCCTTCCATACAACACCTTGAATGGGGTCATCTAAGAAGCAGAATGATAAGAGGTGTTGTACCAGTACTCGGATCATGATAGCCACTTGGCCCATAGCTTGGGTGTCTCCGACACAAAGCATCTCAGGTAGGTCTCCAAGCTCTTGTTTACCACTTCTATTTGGCCATCTGTCTGTGGGTGGTAGACGGTGCTCCTTTTTAGAACTATCCTCTATAATCTGAACAACTCCCTCTAAAAGTGGCTGATGAACACCTTATCTCTATCTGATACTATTGCCTCTGGTATTCCATGCAATATGATCACCTCTCTGATGAATAAAGCCGCTATCACCGTAGTGTATGGATGTTGGAGGGGAATGAAATGAGCATACTTGATCAATCTGTCCACCACCACCAGAATCACCATGAAACCTTCTGAACATGGCAGCCCATCTATGAAGTCCATGGATATCTCCTCCTATACTCATCCCGGTATAGCCAATGGTTGTAGTAGTCCTCTTGGTGACATAACCAGGTATTTGTTCCTCTGATAGACCTCACACATGGCCACCATCTCCTCCACATATATGTGTATCCTCTTCCAGTATAGCTCCGAGGCTAACCTCATATATGTCTTCTGCACCCCTGAATGACCTCCAACAGCGCTTCCATGAAACTCTTAGTGTAAGTATGGAATGTGGATTGAGATCCAGGGCATCACAAAAGTCCCCTAATAGATTAGTCTGTCCCCCTCCAATGAGTACCCTGGGCCCTTCCCTCAGTAAATATGTCTTGATCTTTCCCAACTCCTCATCCCTAGCACTAAGTTTGGAATGTGGATTGAGGTCCAGGGCATCACAAACCTCCCCTAATACATTAGTCTGTCCCCCTCCAATGAGTACCCTAGGCCCTTCCCTCAATAAATATGTCTTGATCTTTCCCAACTCCTCATCCCTAGCACTCTCCTCCATGATGGCCACCAAATCTAGCATCAAAGGAACTGATACTGTCACTGTCTGCAGCTCCCCATATATCTGAACAAGGCATCTGTTGTCTTGTTCTCCACTCCTAACTCATACTGGATTTCAGAATAATATCCCAAAAATTTGGACATCAACCTCTGATGCTCCTCAATCACCATCCACTGCTCCAACAAGTACTTCAGGCTCCTCTAATCAATTCTGATAATGAAGTGTCTACCTAATAGGTAGGGTCACCACTTCTTGATGGCTAAGATGATAGCCATCAACTCCCTCTCAAAGATTGATTTCAGCCTAGCTCTGGTTGTCAACACTTGGCTGAAGTAGGCAATGGGTCGACGATTCTGCATGAGTACTGCCCCCAGTTCGTACCCTGAAGCATCTATCTCCACTATGAAGGCCTGAGTGAAATCTGGTAAAGCTAAGACTGATACAGTAATCATAGCCTTCTTTAATCTCTCAAATAATGTTGTGGCCGCCTCTCCCCATAAGAAACCATCTTTCTTCAGCTGCTCTATCAGTGGTCATATTATAGTACTGTACCCTGTTACAAACCTCCTGAGAATCCCTAAACCCTAATACCCCATCAATCCTAACAATCCTCTCAACTCCTTCAGATTCTTAGGTAAGGGTCATCTCAGCAGCCTCAATCTTTAACTGACCTGATGTCACCCCTTCTTTGGACACAATGTGACCCAAATAGTCCACATTGGTCTGGGCAAAAAAACACTTCTTCAGGTTAGCCTTCAGATGATGTTCATGTATGACTCACAGGACTTCTTCAAGTGCTATAGATGCTCCTCAGTTTTGTTATACAACAATATGTCATCAAAAAACACCAAAACAAACTTCTGAGGTATTGTCTGAATACCCTGTTCATTAGTGACTAGAAAGTAACAGGGACGTTGATAAGTTCAAACGGCATTACCAAAAACTCATAATGCCCCTCGTGTGTCCTAAAAGCTGTTTTTGAGATGTATGCCTCCCTCATTCTGATCTGATGGTACCCGACTTCAAATCTAACTTGGAGAACATCACTGCCCCATACAGTTCATTCGAGAGCTCATCAATCACAGAAATAGGGAACTTATTCGGCAATATCCCCTTATTCAAAGCTCTGTAGTCCACACAAATCGCCAGCTCCCATCCTTCTTCTTGACAAGTGGGATTGGACTAGAGAAAGGAATCACACTCGACCTGATAATCCCAGCCTCTAACATCTCGCGGATCAGCTTCTCAATCTCATCCTTCTCAAATTGAGGATAACAGTAGGGTCTAACGCTGATGGGTGACACACCTTCCCTCAAGACGATGGCGTGCTCCTGCTCTCTCGGTGGTGGCAATCCCTGAGGTGGCTGAAACACCTCCTGGAATTGCTAAATCAATGGTTATATGGAGAAGGGTATATCCCCTCCCTCCTTCAATCTAGCTCCCTCCAAACTGTGCAGCTCTACCAAATATCCTCCCCCCACCTTCTCTATAATCCTGATAAAAAACTTGAGAGATACCCCATTCCTTGACAGCCCTACATCACCTTAAATAACCTTTTTCTTCCCCCCCCCCCCTTTACCACCAATTCCATTCTAAGGGTTCCCCAATTTACCTTGGTATCTCCCAAGGTCTGTAGTCATTTTATCCCCAGGATGACATCAGTGCTCCTAACTTCAATGAAAGAAAATTCTCCCTCACCTGTATCCCATGAATGGTCAACACCACTCCCCTACAAACTCCTCTATCCCATTTGCACATTTCTCGTGCCCATCATCACCCAATAGTCTCTTGTATCCACTAATTTCACCCCAAGCATATCAACAATCTAGGTGAAGATGAAATTGTTTGTTGCCCCACTATCTATCAAGACTATCACCTCTCTATCAGCTATCTCCCTTCACTTTCATATTTTGATTCAAAGTGAATCCCACTACTGAGTTTAGGGAGACTTCTACCACATCCAGATGCAACTTCTCATCTTCCTCCATCTCTAACCCACTCCCACCTCCCTCTTCATCTTCCTCGTCATCACAGACAGTGAGAATCTGAAGAGTTCGGTCCTTACACCTATACTTCGGCATGTACTTCTCATCACATCTAAAACATAACCCCTTTGCCCCTTTTCCTGTATCTCCTTCTCTGCCAGCCTCTTGAAATTTCCCCCACTCCTTCCTTCATCCTACTATCTTCTCCCTAGTGGTCTTACGAAATCCTCATGTTGCAGGCCCCTTGGGTGCTAAGTGGGTGGTCATCATCCTGTAAGTGCCTCCTAAGCTGTTGCTCCTGGCTCACTTCTCTGGATTCTTCTGATTCTCTACCAGCTGTGCCAACTTCATGGCCTCTCCCAAGTCACGAGGCATCATGGCTTTCACTGTCGCTCTAATTTCTGCCTTGAGCCCCTTCATGAAGTTTCCTTCCAATACAGCCTTTGATAATCGCTTCACTCAACTGGCTAGGTGCTCGAACCGCTCCCGATAGTCTGCCATTGATCCATCCTGTACTAGTGCAAAAAACTGCTCATAGAAGTTCTCTCCCATGTCGGTTTGGAAACATTATAATAAACAGTCCTTTAATGCTCTCCAGCTTTGTATAGGTCTGCTTTGGTCCCTCCACTGGAACCATGACAACATCCTCCCTTCCGAGCATAGGCCTGCTGTTGTCAGTTTCTCCTCATCCGTCAACTCATTGACAGCGAAGTACCTATCCACCTTATAGATCCATCCATAAGCATCCCCCCTTCAAAAATTGGCATCTTCAACTTCCTCACATTTGGCTCTCCCCTATTTGCCCGTATTCCTCCATATTTTCTCCTCTCCCAAGTGCTTTACTCTCCCCATTTCTCCTAATCCTCCCTTACATGCTCATCTTCAAACCCCTCTTCACTTTCTTCCCTACTTTCTCCAAAATCAACACCCCTCCTACCATAGTTTCCCTCCTTTCTCTCCCAAACACCACCCTTTACTCCTTGCTCCCTATTTCCACGTCTCTCTCCCCACCTTCCCCCTTTCTCCTCAATGATTTCAACAGTGTTTTCCCTCCTATGAAAATCAGAATTCATAGTTTTTCCCATTGGTTCCTTCGCCTCCGATGTCGCCATTTGGATTTGACTTTCCAATAACCTCTTCACCATCAAATGAAGAAAGGCAACTTTGCCTTCTAAGGAAAAAACATTGTCTTCTATGGATGAAATTCGATACTTCACCGTGGCTTTTATTTGGCTCATCTCTCCTTCCAAACGCTCTTCCAACGCATCTACTTTCATAGCCGTCATCAAAATTTCTGGATTTAGATCCAAAAATCAGCCAGTGTTCCTTCCTCCGGATGAATTTTCACCACTGAAATTTCAAGAAATCAAGCCCCGATGGTCCCAAGACTTGCTTTGATACCAATTTAATAGGACATACTTGAGTTCGCAAGCAACCCTAATAATAATTGATAAAAACAACAGGAATAATAAAAAAATCTTGATGAAATCAATCCAAAACAATAGATTGTAACAGTGGAATCAAAGCAAAAGCAAACGTCAAGTGTTATGTTTAAAAGCACACAAAAACAACGTTTTTCAATTTTCAATTTTCAATTTTCACAACAATTTGCATTAATGCACAAAAAATGACTTCAAAGATTTATTTCACCATTCATATTGAAATCAAAAACATAAAATCTCAGTTATGGAAAGACTGCATAACACTTTAATTTTTTCCTTTTTAACCATTGCAGATGAACGATTGAAATTATGCAGATTCCCAACAGAATAACCAAGTCTACTCTATGTAAGGTATGTTAAAAATTACCTTAGCTGCCACAACGTTGCCACTTGCAACAAAGGAACCAACTTCATGCCAACGATTAATACCACCATGCCGACGAAGATTTAATATTGGGGGCCCAGGAGAAAGCTTTGCTTCTAATTTCACTTGAATCATGCCGGCTGCTTCCATTGCAGCCTCCAGTGAATCGCCATCTGTTACTCTGTAACAACCAATGTACTTTCCCTTCTTACCTGAAACATGACGTTAATATACATGTATATCAGTTATGAACGTTTGAAATAGAAGGGACTTTTCTAGATTTCCATATACGAATTTAAACCGATTATTAGAAAGATCAAGAGCATATATCACTCATTTCTATTTCATATCATATAATAATACTACACGCAGAATTTTCCTCCTTGCCTTCCAAGAAAAATTATCCTTATGAAGAAAGATTTCACATCCGGAGAAATTCTACTAGAAAGAGGGATACTAGAAGTTAATTCAATCTTACATAAGGTTTGTTACCCAAACTACAAACTAGACCCTAGTTAAAGCTTACCGAAGAAAACTTTATTAAAATGGTAACTTAGCATCCGGATTGAGATATAGAAGAGAAACAATGAATGAAGAAGGGGGAATAGACCAAATTTGGATTAATTTTGTAAGAAGATACTCATATATTATAGACACACACAGTAAGTAAATAAAATTTTTTGAAAGCTAGGATACAATGTAAGATGATACTCAAATTACAGCTGAAGTCTGGAAAAAATAGCCAAAAGTATGATGTGCCACCTTTGAAGTCCTATACGAAGATTATGGAATAAGTATCACTGTACAGTATATATTTCATAAAAAATGCAAGGGAATCAATGAAACAGAACAGTTTCAGGTAATCCATCTAGAAAAACCTATGAACTACAGATTTCTTCGAGCATCACTGTTATTCAGAACTCACCTTAAAATATTATAAAATGCCCTCTGCTATGCAATTGGTATGGAATCTCCACAAGATTCTTCAAAGGAAAGCAAAAGAGTAATCCTTCCTTAAAAACGAGTCCACTGTATAGCATAAGCCTTACTAATCAAATCTGAATGCCATATTTCCCTTATAATGAACTAATTTTGATATAGTTCTAGGGATTTGAAATCTCATGTCACTTTCTTCTCCTACGCTCCATAAACAAAATGTGCTATTGATAAAGAAGCAAGTTTATAGTTCTAAATTGTTTTAACTGAGAACTAAACGAAGATGTATACCATATTTAGATAATAGCAAGAGGACTGAGTATAGCTCTCTGGCAAAACCCTCTGCAACAAGATTGCAGCTAATTATAATAGTGGTCAAGGGAAGAAAGTAAGGATTTGAAATTCCCAGCATTGGGCTTATGCAGGATTAAAACTGACTTTGAGGTCATTATACACAGGTAGGAACACACCCAAAACAGAAACGTGAAGAAATTATATATTAGTTATTTTGCAGAAGTGACATGAAGATTTTGAAGAATCAAACACAACAGTTCAACTGACCTCGCTCCGCCAATAACTCGTCAATTTTAATATTAGCCCTGGGAATAAGGACAAATTTGATCCCCAAACCATGAAGTAGTGAAATATCCTGCACACATAATAATTCTAAGTCAATCCAGTGCAAAGGATAAGCAGAGGAGTTTTCATGACTTGTGAAAAATTAGCACCAAGAGATTACAAATTTGTTAAAACTTCCATGTATTTAATCCAGTCGTTCAGAGTAAGCCAGAAAGGTATAGGGCCTGTTTGGCAGCAAGTAGGATTAAACAAATCCAGAGTGTGTTGCATTGTGAAAACCGGTTGACATAATTATTACGTAAATCAATCTAAATTCAGGTAAATTGTTTGGTTCTTGTTTCAGGAGTTGCAAATTAACAGAATATTAGATGAAGCACAACTGAACAAGTATATGCGAAAAATTACCAGAAAAAATACCCACGAACAAAAAAAAAAACATCTATCATCACAATAAATTTAATAATAATACTTGAATAAAATATCATTTTCTAATCTTACAGAAGTCAACCACATTCTTCAAATAGGTTATATGAGCAAAGCAAACGATGTCTGAAACCAGTGCTCCACAACATCTCCAAATCTTGAATCATCTCCCTGTAGACTTGATGAAACCGAAGAAACAAAAATCATGATGACGCGTTAGGAATATGAGAACCTTGGACATCAATGAAAGGGAAGGAGAAGAGGAATGTAAGACTGTATACAAATCCCATAAATCGCACCTTGGCAGGATTTGATAAAACCCGCTGAATCGTAAAAACCCTAATTTAGGATTTAAAGTAGTCAGGATTTACGAGGCTAGAAATAATTTAAAAAAAAAAAAAACTTGTTTAAATTCTATTATGTGATCAAGCAAACTACCAGCTGCTTATAAAGATGGCAATGAATGATTCATTGAATCCCATTGATCGGTCGAAAAACTAATCAGCTCCCATCTCTATGCTTCCATCCCCATCGAGCAGTCTTTCCACTCCCTAAAAATTTCCCTCCCCATTCTGCTTACCCAAGCTCTAGAATTATATTTTTTTCTCTAATCCCTTCCACCTCCAAACCCCCACCCCTTCCAAAATTTCTTCCTACCTGTCCCATTCTCTTAACACATTCGTTTTTTTCTACTTCACTTAACATTCTACCTCTAGCAAATCTCTCCCCACCATCTACCCGTAATCTAAGGCATTTCAAGGGAGAAATTATTCTGTACTTAATCCGAACGCGTTTGGATGCTGCGTATTTACTGCTTATTGTGTTGCGTATTTTTTGATATCAAATTTTTTCGTGTCAAAAAACAACACATAAATAATACTCACTAAATACTCACTAAATACACAATTAATACGCAAAAAATACGTAGAAAACATAATGTATCAAAAAATACGCAGTAAAATAAGCAGTAAATACGCAGCATCCGAACCCAATTCTGTGTTCGGACTGCGTACAGAATAATTTCTCATTTCAAGGGCACCTCTAACCGCAACGGCATTTTAGAGAGCTGAACAGTGCCAGCCAATATTGTAATTCACTGAATTTTTTAGGACTATTTATTGTGTGCGGATAAAGGACGGAATGAACAATTCAGATTTCATTAGTCTATAGTAAAAGCACATTCAAAGTGCAATTGCTATAATAACTACGCTTCTAATGTTAAAAAAAAAAATCCGGACGATTCTCTCCCTTCCTGTGTCCGCAAACAATAATCTCTCATTTTTTAGAGGTAAACAGTGACAGCCAATATTGTAATTCAATGCGAGAGTCGCGGCTTTTTGTTTTTTTTTGGAAAAATCATAAAATTAGGTTACGACATTTTTGAGAGGTGAACAGTGCTAGTCAATATTATAATTCAATGCGAGATTCACGGCTTTATTTTTTGGAAAAATCAGAAAATTAGGTTAAAAATTATAATTAAGTCTAATTCAAAGAATTGATAAATATAAATATATGATTAAAAATAAATATAAAAATCATATGAATAAGAATATATCCAAAATATTCTTTTTTGGTATTATCAAGGGCGGAACCACCTTTGGGTGAGTGGGGGCAATTGCCCCCCCTTAAAAAAATAAATTTTTTTTCCTTGGCAAATCAATTGAAGTGACCCCAAAAATTTCAATCCTGATGTGGGAACCCTAAAGACTTACTAGACTAAACAAGGAGATTTTATTCATTAAGATTAATCAAATTATTAAAATAAATTATGAGGGTTTCAATGCTTGTTTATTCATTTGCTCATGCGTTAGTCTCCAAACTATGAATGAAATTGCATCAATGGAGATCAAAAACGATGGCAATGATTTTACAAGTCAATAAAACTAGTCATAAGGGAATAGTAATGAATGAACAGCACATGGTAAAGCTGTCCCACCAGCTCCTAGCTATGCAAGTTTTTGTAATTTCTCCTTCAATAAGAAACCCAAAAAATAAAAATAAAAATAAAGATTATGTTGGAACTTAATAAATAAGTATTTCCATAAAAATTATGCTTAATCAAGCATGAATCTCGATGCAATTTGTAGGAGAAATTTTCAAATTTCAGCTCTAAAATATCCAAACTCAATTCCAATAAAGTTATAGTCAAATGGATCGCCATGATGAGACAAAACTAACGATAACAAAAGTGGTCCGATAAGAGTTCAAAGAAGCTCAAATCAATGCTTAAAGTATAGTTGAAAACTTTAGGATATGAATTAAAGGAAAAAATGATGCTCAGATTGTGCATGCTTACAATCAAATTGAATGTGTCGATAAAATGAATCCAATGACCCCCAAAATCACTTAATTCTGACATCATTATGACATGTAAATACTAAAATAATGGTCTATGACCAAGGGAATTAATATGGATCGCCCAATGGAGTATTAGTGATTTTGGTTATATTTATGTAACATATCAATTTCAAAAACTATAAATCGGCCCTCACTATTTACATGAGGAGAATCGTTAGCTTAAAATTCAAGAGAGCTCATAGGCTTGAATAATCCCAAAACGTCACTTGCACCACCGTCAGACCATCATCATTTGACCACAATCGTAGTATCATGACCCGATCGCCGTCGTTGGAACACCACTCGACTATCGTCATTGAATTACTACCCGACTGCCACCGTTGGACTGTCGCCCAACTACCTTCATCACAGGACTACTGTCATTTGATTGCTACCCTAAAAATATTGAACAATTGTCATCATCGGATCACCATTGTCCAATTACTGTCATATGACACTTAGCCTAAGACATATGACCGATGATGTCCGACTCTCAAATTTTATAAATAGGCACCCACTCTATAAATGAGGAGAACACTTAGCCTAAGATTCAAGAGAGCTCAGAAGTTTAAAGATTCTTGGAGCTCTACCCAAGCGCCACTACTGAACCATTGTTATTGGACCACCACCTTCAAAAAAACTTCGCAACCGCCACTGTCGAACCACCCCCATTGGTCCACCATCGCCCTACCCCTATTATTGGACCATCATCGCATGAACAACACAGTCATACAACCATCACTAAGCCACAAGCACTTAGATGCCTCTCATCCCATAACAACTCTATGGCCTTCTCCGCCAATCACTCATACTCTTGTAATTTGCCGAGAGTCAACCCAATGCACATTGCCTTAGGCCATCTCCAACCAAAAATCTTAATTTTCATTCCAAAATACTTTAATACATCAAAATGCAGTAATTTGTCTCCAATCGAACTCCATTTTCTAACACCGAAAAAAGAACATTCAAATATAAAACAAATAGCAAGTCAAATCAATATTGTCGTCCCAGTGTTCACCCACAATCAAATAGCACCATTTTTGCCGATCGAATGGAATGGAGCGACGGAAGAACTCTGGCGTTCAGGTGGAGAAGCTCTAAGCCAACAAATTGTTGCAGTCTATCTTCAAAAATAAAAGCAATAAATAATTGAACAAGGATAAGCTTGATACTACTATATATATATATATAATTTGCCAAAGAGACGGCCAGTTTTAGATTGAGTGACTGTAAGACGACATGAGAATCCACAAAATAAACCAAGAGGTTTCTTATTAAACTGGCAACGTAACAATTCGCACGTATAACGACTGATTAATTAAACCACCCATTAAATCACTAATTTGATCTCATTCTAAATTTTAATTTTGAGAGGCTTCCCAAAGAAGAATTGGAAAGTCTGTCCATTCCATAAAATTTTTCCTTTGTGAATTCGGTCGAATTAGAGAAGAAGAAAAGAACCTGGAGAACGTCGTCCAAGTAAGGACTAGCAACGATTTCGCCGGCGATCACCACCACAAACGTGCTTCCCCTGTGTCCCCTTATATAAGGCCAGACTTCCCTGAACCACCCCACGAACCGCTCACCTTCATCAAATGAAGAATCCCTATCGATTTTACTACCATAACAGCTTCTTCTGGCGAGATTTCCGCGTAGGACCTCCGGTGCCAAAGAGCGGCCCCGCAATGCCGGAAGGCGGGGGATCCTCCACCGATCAGAGACGGTTCCGTAGCCACGACCCAGCGCCGTCGCCAGCCGGCCGTGAGAGGCAGCGGCGGCCATGGTGGAGAGCGACGCCAGTAGCGATAGGGTCGAAACGCTCAAGGAGATGACAAAAGACAAGAGAGACTGAACGGCAGTAAGAAAGGGAGTACTTAATGCAGGTGAAGAGACGCGGCGACAAGCCGTTGACGGGATTGATGATTTGGCGCGCAGTTATAAGACGCATTGGGCTGGAGAGACACGTGGCGCATTACCAGGGCAGATGTTTTAAAAATAAGGGAATTATTTTCCCAAAAAAAAATTTAAATAATTTTCCCAAAAAAAAAAAAAAGGGAATTTGAGCTCGCGCCCGCAGCTCACTGGATGATTGGAGCTGTTTCCTCCCACCATTAAGGTTGCAAGAGGAGAAATTATTAGGTGCGGAGTGCGGACGGGAGAACTGTCCGCACACTAGTATAAAACCGTGCTCGGTACCACTCGGTACCACTGGGTACCGCTCGATACCCTGTGTCTGTGCGGACGGTTCTCACCCCGTCTGCACTCCGCACCTAATATTTTTTCTTGCAAGAGAGCCAAACGGTCTATGAGTTATTCGTTGCTCGAATCGATTAAAACTCATTTGTAATCGTTTAACTAACTAAACAAATAAAATTGAACAACATTTTTATTACTCAATTATTAAATAAACAAGTTTGAACACTAATGTGTTAGGTTCATTTATGATCACGAACAATATCATTTGATGCTCATGAACACGCTCGACATTAAGCTCGATTCGTGTTCAATTCAGAACTCATGAATACGCTCAATAAAAATTTGATTAATATTTAATTATAAAATTGATATATACACATAATATAAATATTTAAATTTATTATAACATAATGATATAATTATTTTTAATTAATAAAATTTAAAGTAATTAAATATTATAATATATTTTATAGTTTTAATTTCTTTACAATTGTTAATTTATTATGCTACATCGTTAGATCTTGCTCATTTGATAGTTCAAGAATACTTGTTAGATTTGTTCATGAACATGCATGTTTGATAGTTTAAAAAAATTCGTTAAATATGTTCACGAACAAAGCTCGCTAAGACTTGTTTGTTTAAAGCTCAATAAGCACTAAGCGAATCAAACATGAACACCGTTAATTTAAACGAATCAAACATGAACGCAAACAATAAACCTCGAATCAAACACGAACCGAACTTGAACAAGCTAATAATAAACGAACACAAACATGAACACTCACATACTCGACTCAGTTTGGTTCGTTTGCAGCCCTACTAACGCTGCTCAAATTCAAATCTCTAACTGCTAAATAAATAAGGGAATTTACCTACATATCATTTTATTTCATGTTATTTACATATATAATTCTTACAATTTTAATATTTCATGCATACCACTCATAAATCAAATATGATTGTAAAGAATAAAATATTAAAATTTATAGTGTGTTATGATTGATCGGAATGACACATTTAATATTAAAATTATATATGGGTGCTTACATAAAATATTAAAGTTTTATGTGTTAGATATATAAATAGCTTGAAATAAATTAAGTGGTATGGATGTAAATCCCCCTCAAAAAAATTGGCATGCAACTCAGCTTCGCCTTTTGACATGGAGCTTTGGCTATTAAT